GAAGTTATAATTATCAGAAGCAAAATAAGAGGTTCGGCCGACGCGTTGATCTTCAACTTCCCTACCCAGTGGAAGTTATCGAGGATCCATATGATCCATAAGTCCGGCAAGCAGGAATATGACTAATTATCGCCCGACTTTCTAGGCTTATGGATCAAATGGCAGTCCTGATCACCAATTCGGGTTCAGGGCTGGGCATGGTGGTGTGGAACAGGTTCACAGAGTGATTAACTATATTCTCAACGCTTACGACGGCAAAAACTATTGCTAAATTCTTTATAGACGTTAAGCAGGCCTACGTTAAGCAGGCTTATGATCGAGTCTGAGAGAGCTCTTAGGATTGCTCCTGAAAATCAAGATGAGTCTTCGCGCCCCTTCTTTCTACTTATGCGCTCTTATCTAATGGAGCGCAAGCTTAAAATCATGAATGCGGATGTCCTCAAGGCAGGGTACTGGGTTTCTTCCTCTACAATTTGTATACGGCAGACATCCCCACTCTAGATGACCTACCCAGGAAAATACTTAATGGCCACATTTGCTGATGCCGTGGCAATATTTTACCCCGCCTATTTTACTCAGCCACTGATGAGGCCCAGAAATACATCCACTTGTATGAGAGCTGGGTACGCAAGTGGAACATAAGCTCAATGCTTTGAAGTGCCAGTCCAAGTATATTGGAATTGTACTGTATAAGAGGCTTACCTTTCGGGCGCATATCGACAGCCTTCTGAAGCAGTGCCGCTTTAAGATGGCCAAGACCAACTGGCTGCTGATAAGCCCAACGGCCCATTGCCACTTTGCTGCAAGCGGTCAGCTTACAAAGCCGTGGTGACGCCAACTTTGAGATACGGAATCCAGGTTTGAGCAATTGCATCTCGTACAATAAGGAGACGGATTCAGATATCGCAAAACACGGCCTTGTGCCGAATGACCGGTGCTGATTGGTCGGAAATTTTACCCCGCACAGAGACTTTAAAATGGAGACTATACACAGCCAAGTCGAAGCATCCAAAAATACAAAGAACGCTTGCAGCGACACTGCAATCCGGTTGCAAGAGACCTTGCTGGGAGGTGTATAATCAGGAGTCTCAAGAGAAGATCCTTTAAGGAACTCCTCCGAACAAGACATAGTAGACTCCCCACAGCCCCCGACTAAAGAAGACGCCTTTGACATTTGTCCATGCCCATACGCCATTTTTGATTCAATACAATAAACATTACATAAAAGAAAATAAAATATTAAGACGATATAATGGCAGCTCTCGCCATTACCTGACAGTAATAATTATCAAAAGCAAAATAAGGGGTTCGGCTGACGCGGTTTTGTCTTCGTTCATTAAATTTTGATGCTATCATCAACCGTTTAGATTTCACTTACAATGACAAGCCAGCTTATGTTATCGAACAAGAAATGGGTGCCCCCAGGGCTAGAGCAACATACCTTGCATCAATATTATGATGGAGTTTAAAATAAACTCCCTTTACTCATAAACAAAGTCAATATGACGTACGACACAGCACTAGCAAAAGGTATATGCGCGAAATTTAGAGGTGATGCTTTGCGAATATTTATCTCTGGCCTTAGGCGAAGTCTCTCTGATGTCCCACTTGCGGCACATCCGATCGATCTTCCCTCTGATTTAGCACTCGGACAAAAAATCGAGGCTAACCTCGACACAAACAGTTTCGCTACAAACTACGCCCTTGCAAAAAGCCCATATTAAACACAGCAGACCGGCCATCGTAGTAGCGGCAAAGCAACGGCAACCAATGGACGTTAACCCATCAATGTCTAGATTTCTAATGTCATCGCAGGCTCCAGCGTACGTCAACTTGAGTAAACTGTAGGCTTACAAGAGAACGAACGCCTTTGACTAAATCACACTACTCAGAGCCAAGAATGTGGATTTGTGGCAGAGCTTTGTCTAAGCTGCAGCCAACTCACCATTGGTTTGTGGATGTCAATTTCACTAACGTAGATTGCGCAGCGCTCCTCCCCTAAAAAGAAAAATGTTTAAAAAACGTTAATGGATAGGAAAAAAACGTTCGCAGACGCTAACGACGCGCATCCATACAACACTTCTGTAGTAACCACTATTAGAACTGTTGGCACTAGTGACGGTGCCACAAAAGACCCGGACATGGCCAAGGCCATTCAGGACTTCCCAGAGCCCAAGACAGTTTGTGAAGTTAGATCGTTCTTGGGACTCTCAGAGTACTATTTTCCAAAAATGGCTAAAATAGCCAACGAAGTTGAACAAAACTGTGCTAGTGCTTAATACGCCAGACACCCTAGGAAACAAGCAATGTACATGCAGAGGAAATGTGTAAATCTTCTCAGCTGACAAAAAATTTTTTATACTTGTCTTTCGAAATTTGCTTTTCACACCGGAACTCTTGACAGCAAGTCTCACTTAAACCTTCGATAAAAACTCATATTGTAAAACTGCAGACCATAACCTTTGTTGGCCCTCCACAGAATGTTCACACATGAACACGTAATTTTGACCTCGGTAAAATATATCTCACACCATATTGTACAACTGAAGCCAGCAGCACAACAGCTTTTGATAAATCAATATGGAGTTAGCATTTCAAATGAGCCGCCCTTGTTGTCTACAGTGGAGTACAACAACACAATCCATTCTGTCACCGACAAGCGGCCAGTTGATGCCGTCCGTTCACTCCCAGGCAAATCAAAGACGGAGGTTCAAAATAAGCATAAAAGAGCACAGGACTCACTCAGAGCTAGAGAGGTAAAGGTTGGCAAGAAAGTGTGAAGAAAAATCTCTGGAAACTGACCTGGGAACCACTGTTCTCATAAAGAAAGTGAGGGTTGTCCACAACGACAGCCCTGAACCCATTAAAACTGGGTATAAGGGTATATTGTATTTGTGCAAAAAACAAATGTATGTAACAGGCAGAAGGAAGCATCTCCGACCCCATAAAGTATATATATTCTTGATCAGCACCAATAGCCGAGTCGATCTAGCCATGTCCGTCCGTCCGTCCGTATGTATGAACGCAAGGATCTCAGAACCTATAAGAGCTAGAGACTTGAAACTTACTCCGTTTCCAAGCAATCGATGAAAATCGATATCAATTTTCTGTTTTTTGGACAATTTCGGCAAATTATAAGAGCTAGAGTCACCAAACTTAGCATATAGCTTCTAAAATAAAATATATATATGCATTTGATGTTGGAAGAAGAGGGTTCAGGGTATCCCCTTGTCGGGAGTTCCCGACTAGAACCTCTTACTTGTTTCCTTTATATTAAGTTACGAGAGTACAAACCAAATTTTAAAGGCTGCAAAGGGCAGGTAATTTGATTCTGGCAATTTATAAGAAACGCTTTTAGCCAGGAACAGAATGTTGTAAATGGAATTGCAGAACTTAATGCTCGCCATAAACTTAGCTAAGGCTTACATTGTTAGTCAAAATATATACGACCACGCAGACTGAAAATCTGTTTGGTTTGAAGAGCCCACAGATACTCATATGGCCGACCTTATATCGGTTTCGTCCGTTAAAAGCCATATGTTGCGAATAGAGAATAGCATCATGGCAGAATGCAGGGTCAACTTTACATGCTAAAGAATTGCACAGCCACCGCAAGAACGGCTTTCCGTCAACGATCGACAATCAGCCCATGTTCAAGGAACTTCATTCTGGCGGTATAGTTCATTGCGATATGCAGCCAAGCAATCTAGACGCAATCACATGGATTGATAACGGAATAGTCATCATCAACGATGGTTGCGTGGCACATCATTAATCACGTTCAATAATTGGGTCACTATAAAAGGAACAAGGTACATCAATCGCAAAAACGTTCAGAACTGGTTCCCAGGTATAGCAGTGTCCCCCTGTTTAATGTCACCGGTCATCAGGGTATCCTTTGTCTGCCTTACCTTCATCGATTAAATGAACGCAATCTGGATACAATACAAGAAGTCAGAGAAGAAATGGGCAACATCAACTTGACCATATTGTTGGTTCTTTTTGGAGCAGCCTGTGGCACAGTCATATGCATTGGCTTCACCTATCGGCGAATCATCAGAAAGAAGGCTACTGCTCAAAGGATGAACGAGGTGATTGCTGAAATAGGGTCGACCGAAGGTGGCCTTAAATTGAGGGGGAGTACTCCAGCACAGACGCTGACTCAGCTCTTGGCCGGATGTCTTTGCATAGCAAGCAATGCACGAGGCACAAGCTAATCGTTTCTGCAGCCGCTATGAAGTTGCATTGTTCAACCATATAATGATTCTTTGTAGCTTGATAAATGATTATATATTGTCTTAAGTTTAGTTCATTTTCAGCATAACTTGCGACACCACGTCCTAGCCCGTAAAACTGATTCATAACCTGAGCGATTTAATTATTATGTCCTAATAAAAATCATTTATACAATACAATGCATAAAGAATAACTAACATTTACTAAATTAATATACTGGATCAATATCAACAACTGAGTCTATATAGCCATGTCTGTTTCTATGCGAACTAGTCTCTTAGACTTACAGCTATCGTCACGAAACTTAGCATACGTTCCTATTTCGCCATTTATAAGTTTTACTATGCTCCCTACATTTTGTAAAATCTTATTCACATCGGACTACTAAATCATGTAGCATAGGAACGATCGGTTGATCAAGATATCTTGAACAAACTCGGAACTTATTAGTTTTACTCCGCTCGCTAGATGTATGCCAAATCTTATTCACTTCGAATCATTATATCATATAGTTTCCATAGGTCCATATAGATCGGTCGATAATTAATTTGTTCTATGGAAGATTTTTTTGTCTTACAAGATATCTTAGCCATACTCTGCATTAACTACTTTCCCTTTGCTTCTTAGGTACGGGGAAAGCGTTATGAGCATTATGAATGGCTGGGTTTTCAAGGGCATTAAATCTTCGGCGTGCTGAAGATAGCCCTTCTTTCTCATTAATCTTGAGATTTATTTTTTTCTAACTTACTCTACCAATTTTGCAGGAGAGCATCCTGCGGCCATGCATCATGGAAACTCTGCGCCCTTGCAGCCGCCGGAATTCTTTTTACTAGTGCTGCTTTCATGCGGATTATTGTTCTTTTTGGAGTCACACGCGCAGTCTATCCATCGCTCTACCACTTACCAGAACACAACCGGTTCAGCCACATCCACGCAAGGAAGCCCAATCGTCCTAATCAACTGCGTAGATCAGCAACGTCATCGACTATACCGAAACCAAATGGAGAGTAGCATTTGGCCGCCAGCCACATAGCTACCTGAACAACAATGCGGATGTAAATACACAAGCAACTTTTAATTTTCCTAGGGTTCTGAGTTTGTCTCATGTTTTTAGATCTTGTTATTACTAAATTAAAAAAGCAGTTTACTTAAGCCAACCCAGAAATTTTGGTAAATTTTCTTAATATATTATTGAATAATAGGAGTTTTTCAAATTCTGCATGTTGGCTTTGAAATGCATCATGTTTGGTAATGGTGCTTGATAACACAGAATTTAATACAACACTAATATACACACAGGCACTCTCAAACAGATATTGTAAATAATGCTTTTAGTCTAATAATTCAATTTGTCATTGATATAAGTAAGTTTTAAAGGTAATCTTTGTCAGTGAGAGCTTGATGACTTATCTGTTCTATTTCGCTCACTCAAGATAAAACACTTGATAAGCAAGCAACTAGCATAGTTTCAGCTAAATTTGTATAATTGCAGGCCACAAAGAAAATTTACTTTATTTATTGTTGTTTTGTCGAGAATATATGTATGTAGGTAAATTTAAGAAAATTAGCGTTCAGAAGAGTTCATTATATGCAGATTAATATAGATATATTAATATATGTACGTATATAAATATAAAATATACATACATACGTATACTCTAGGCTGGGCCCAAAATAAATTTGTTGGACATTTTAAGGGGACACTTAATTTATTATCTTACATGAGATATTGCTAATTGTGAAACATGCCCACATTTGGCATGAAGAAATAGTATAATTGCATTGCGCAACACATCACCATATGTACATGATACCAAAAATGTCAGTAATTCAATAATGACTGAAAGAGGTAAATACTATTCTACTCGATGGACAGTCTGATGATCGTCCGTTATTTTGTTCAGTTACGTCTGCACGAACAGTTTGTGCGCTTCGAAGAGAGTTAAAATTAAAATTAAATTGATCTGAATACCAAATTTTTTTTTTTTTAATGGCAAACTGGGATTATTACAACTTATAAAGGAAACAATAGCCCCGGACACAATTAAAATAAAATATTTGTGTCTTTCGTGTTTAAAATACAATTTAATAAGTAACTTTAATTAAAAGTGACTTGTGCTCCTGAGAAGGAATAAAGACCATTTATGCGAAAAAGTGAATCTGCAAAAAAAAAATATTGTGAAAAATACTTGAAATAAAAGTTAATTTTAAAAAAATTTATTCATTTCACAGCAATCATTGCTTGCTTTTACCGTTAAGAATCCACATATTAAAAAATGTATGTATGTGCATGAGAGCATACGCTTACATATGTGTGATCACAATGGCCCAATAGCGCGGGGCCATTGAATAATAAACAGAAGAAGCGGAAAAGTTTCTATGAGCATTTATTTCCGTTTTAAAGCTGATGCGAGGTTCATTAGATTCGTCTGCAGAAGCAGTATCATACAGAAACAAGTAAAGAGGCTCTACTAACTCAAGCACCAAATGCAGCACACGCAACGAGCTCCTTTGCTTCAGCAGTAATAAAAATAAATGTAAAGAAAAATTGTTCTATTTGCCACCGCCTATACTCAAGAGTCATAACAACAATTCCTTGTTATTGAAAAAAAGCCTATGAAAATAGCTTTAAAAACACACAGCACAGAAAACAATACAATTGCAATGCTGTTGATAGAATTCAAAATGACCCCCATGAATGCGTGTATGTATGTATGTCCATGTATACAGAAATTCCTGCAATTTGCGTTAGCTGCAGCAAACACTTGGCCAGCTTTAATAACTTGTGTGTTTCTTAAATGATCTTGGTGAAAGTTGAATGATTTAGAATATTTATATATTCTCAAAAAGACACTTTTAAATATGGCTTAAATTGATGGGTAGTTCAAATCTAGCTTATGTTGTGGTAGCGTTATCGGTAGATTTAAAATAAAATATACGTGCAGCCGGAAAAGGCACTAATGTGGGGATAGGTAATGAAAATCGTATGGATTAATCGCCGGTCATAAAACCCTTAAATCAATGTCGATAAATTCATAAAAAGATCACTTGCACTTTTTTTGCATATCAAAGTGCAAACGAGCGTCAAGTAAGAATCACCTGTTTCATTCAAGCTAATCGCAGGCATTCCAAAAAAAAAAAAAAAACAAAGACCGTGCCCGTCGCCCAAATTTACGCACCAATTGATGAAAATATCTCCGTCTCATGAGCACACATTTGTTTTTGTGTGTGTATATAAGTTAGTGCATTAATGTCTGCAACTTTGGGTTTGCCGGTTGCATGTAAAAATGCATATAAAAAATGAGTTAACTAACGGGAGACTTTAATGGACGATACGTCGCGCTTTTATTGTTTCCTAACTTAGACTAAAAAATACAATCTTTATCAATCTAAGCAATGCCTGCAGAGCCGCCGTCGCTGCCCCAGAGCCGCCGTTGCTGCTGTAGAACCGCTGCCGCCGCTCTCGCAAAAGTGCAGCGTTAGCGCCTCGTGTGCGGTGTCGGATGACCGTCGCGGCCGGTGACATAGTTGCGACATATCCGTCGCCACATGACTCTGGTCATTGGCTTCCCCAGAACGCTGGGTCAGCACATACCAATAGTCAGTGGTTAACTACTCCCCCTCTCGAGGATCGACCGTCCTCGGTCGCATTTAAGTTTTCCAATATCTTCGAGATCTTCCGGGAGTTTCGACGCTTGATTGTCAGCCTATGGAGCCAGTAGACTCCAGCCCCCACAGCACAGGCCAACAGCATTATGCCGAAGGAAATCGCCAATGTATTTCCGACTGCAATACTGTCTCTGACCTCTTTGATGTAGTTAAGGTTGTTTTCACTCAGGCGGTGAATGTAGGGAAGGCTGAGTATCGAGTCATGGCCGCTGATGTTAAGCAACGGTGATGCCGCTACCACCGGGAACCGATTTTGCACGCTCTTGCGATTGAAGTATCGCGTGCCATTTACGGTGGCATAGGACGAGAAGGTGACGAGGTTTGTCCCATCTATCTTCATCGCAGTGCAATCGTCGTAGGTGAGTATTGCGCTACGATCGTTAATGACGATGATGCCGTCGTCCACTATGGTGACAGGGGCAAGATGACTCGGCTGCGTTTGGCAATGGGCTGTACCCCCTGCATGGAGGCCTTGTGCGCAACTGATGCTCTTGGAACGCTTGCAGAATGTGGCAGTCGCAGTTTGTGAGCAATTGGCTACGGCCAACATCTGTCCGTCGCAATCGGCCACAAGATTGTCGTGGAGTTGGAGCACAGAACCGTTGTGGGCGACTGGGAAAATTGTTATCTTCCTGCATTGCTTACTTATTATAGGGAATTCGATTATCAAACTTATTACATTATCCTTACGCTCTACCTTAATATTAGATACTTTCAATATGTCAGTGATAGGGGTCCCTGTGATTTGGTCAGTGAGAATATTCATAAGATCAGAATGATCTATTATTGTTGGGTTTAATACGTTAATTTTTTCTAGGGTTAAAGTAAGCATAAGGTTCCCTATTTCTGTTATTATCATTCTATTGCGTGTGCTTAAGGTTTCAAAGAGGTGGCCAGTGTCGGCCTGCTTTTCTTTTGAGGACTTAATAATTCTGTTAACGGTGTCGGTCAGTTGATCGATCTTTTCCTGCATCCTGGAATTTATAGAAATTTGTCTGTTGCTTGCAGTGACCAGCTGCATCTGAGCCAGTTCTGTTTTCCTGAATTCGTTTGCGTCCGGGGTGCCCGCTACAACCTTAAGGGCTGTTCCCAAGAAGTCAAGGCTTCTTGCCTTGCGATGGTGCACATCGAGAGCGGACAACATGTCCAGTGTCAATTTCCAGCAATTTCCTCATATGGGATTGTGAAAACATTCCCGTCAGCTTCATGGTCTCCTCAGTCATTGTCCTATAGTCCGTGAGATTGGTAGTGTGACGTAAGTATCCGTAACTGTCCCAAAGTAGAATGTCCCCGTCCATAATCGGTATGTAGTCCGCGTGCGAGTAGTCCGTCACCCGAGCCGTTGTCATGGACATGTTTGAAAGTATGGTGAACGTAATCCTAAAATGTTGAAACTACTGTTATCGGAATGGTAATGAAAAAAACTGTGCTTTCAATTCAACGGAGGTTGTTCTTGTGGACCACCCTCCCCCCAATGAGGACCGTTGTCCCCAAGTCCGCTTCAACCTTTTTTTCAATGCATAAAGGCGATAGCTTGTCGTCTAGTCTGCGGTTCGTCTTTACCAGGACCTTTTCTCCTACCTCGAAGACTCTGTTCCGACGCAATTTATTAACCCTAGCGCTCTGCTGGATTTGGGCCCTTTCTATCCTGCCTCTAACCTCGTGGGTGGATTCCGGAAGCGAGTCAAGCAGGATGTCCTTAGGCTTCTTCTCAACCACTGAGTGAATGGAATTGTTATATTCGATAGTGGCCTGCAGGATAAGGTCGACTGTGTCAACTATACCCCTTTGGAGCTTTAAGCACCTAGCTATCTCCAGAACAGTGCTGTGAAAGCGCTCTACCTGACCGTTGGACGTGCTGTGAAGGAGAGGCGCATTTATCACGCTTACGCCGAAGTTATTCAATAGCAGAGACCTGATAGTACTTGAATGCGAGCTCATTGTCGCAATACACTTGCTTAGCCGAAGGGAAAATATTCATTAAGACCAGCAGAGGTGGTCTCGTGTCTTCTATCGTTCGAGACGCGATAGGCTGGACTACCGCAAACTTCGAGAACTTGTCAACACAAGTAAGGAAGAACTTTTTGTCCGTGGAGAAAATGTCAATGTGCAACATTTCTCCAGTCTGTGAGGGAAGTGGCGTCTGGCCGAGTTCCTGCTTCTTTGGGT